TATTATTATTATTATTATTATTATTGTAAAATAGAAAAGGACATATGGATACGAGTTTAGAGTAACTCTCCATCACTGTAACATGATACTATATACAGTCAGAAAGTGCAATAACTAGGCACAAAACTGACAGAGTACTGAGACATTCGACGTCCTGACACCTAACTAACCTAATTATTATTATTATTATTATTATTAACTAAAATGGCAATAAATAAGATAAATTGTGCACTCATAACAACAGCAAAAATGAAGAAAGTCAAGTTCCATAACGTTTTCTTGTGACTGTCATCAGTGGAACGCCGTCACATAAAAATGTAATAACTAAAACACACACTTATATACATGTAGCTAATATGGTTTCAGGTAGAAATACAGCAGCTAACAAGTACAAAAAGCGAAGTTTGCACCTTTGCAATATGTGAATATAGTGTATGTGAGAAAGGTAGTGGCAGATGAATGTGATACTGTGTGAATGAATGTAATGGTGCGTGTATATTACTTGAAGAGTGTGAGTGATACAACGTTTTCTTTCTGTTTACATAGCACAGGGTCACGAGTACGAATATACACAGCTTCCAACACCTGCAATTGCTTGAAGAAACGTGCGCAACGAATAACACTAAACCAGGAATCGTCAAACACCTTACGACATTCTGGACTGGACACCAAATGCTTGTACACTGCAGACTTCCTCTTGTCAACATCAAACTCCTCCTCATCACTACTCTCATCCTCCACCTCCATTCCAATGCCGCCGTCCATCCCATCGCACTCGTATTCGTCGTCATCAGTCTCCATCTCCTCGCGACACCGCTTCCCTCTCCTTGATTCGTTCTGTGCCGTGCCTGTGCTTCCTCCTGCGTAAGCAATTGCAGGTGTTGGAAGCTGTGTATATTCGTACTCGTGACCCTGTGCTATGTAAACAGAAAGAAAACGTTGTATCACTCACACTCTTCAAGTAATATACACGCACCATTACATTCATTCACACAGTATCACATTCATCTGCCACTACCTTTCTCACATACACTATATTCACATATTGCAAAGGTGCAAACTTCGCTTTTTGTACTTGTTAGCTGCTGTATTTCTACCTGAAACCATATTAGCTACATGTATATAAGTGTGTGTTTTAGTTATTACATTTTTATGTGACGGCGTTCCACTGATGACAGTCACAAGAAAACGTTATGGAACTTGACTTTCTTCATTTTTGCTGTTGTTATGAGTGCACAATTTATCTTATTTATTGCCATTTTACGACTATTGTCTCCTCGTCGATTGTTTAAATTATTAACTAACCTAATTATTATTATTATTATTATTGCAATGAATATAACTAAATGCGCACTCATATATATTATTATTATTATTATTATTTGAAACTCGGGTATTGAGCCAATAATAAAAGGTCTTTGGTCTTTCCATAACCTCGAACCTTCCAAGTTGGAAGGCTGTCGGTTAGCGCTACGGAGATGTGTTGAAGCTAGGTGTCAGGACGTCGAATGTCTCAGTACTCTGTCAGTTTTGTGCCTAGTTGTTGCACTTTCTGACTGTATATAGTATCTAGTTACAGTGGTGGAGAGTTACTCTTAACTCGTTTCCATATGTCCTTTTCCCTTTCTCCTTTTATTATTATTATTATTATTATTATTATTATTATTATTATTATTATTGACTGGTTTTGAGGGAAAGAGACAAACGGGAAAAGTCTGAAGAAAAAATTGACTGTCACCACCAGGACTCGAACCAGGGACCCTCGCTTGTAGCCAGCGATGCTCTAACCGCTGAGCTATGGTGTAGTCGTCATCCAAGCAGAGACCGTTCAACGTTTTCTTCAGACTTCGTAACTCACACTTCCTGTGAATCCACACAGGCGGGTGGGTATTATTATTATTATTATTATTATTATTATTATTATTGTAGAAGAGAAAAGGACATGCCCACCCAAGTTGGGTGGTGTGCTGCTTTGCTGCTTCGAATTGTAGTTAGACCGCTTTGTCAAATATCGTACTGGTCTCGTCATCGTCCAGTAACAATCGACATTCTTTGTTCCGTTGGGACTGTAGCTTTTGCTCGTTTTCGTTGCGCTTGCCTTCCCCTCTTTGGTCTTTCCATAACCTTGAACCTTCCAAGTTGGAAGGCTGTCGGTTAGCGCTACGGAGATGTGTTGAAGCTAGGTGTCAGGACGTCGAATGTTTCAGTACTCTGTCAGTTTTGTGCCTAGTTATTGCACTTTCTGACTGTATAAAGTATCATGTTACAGTGATGGAGAGTTACTCTTAACTCGTATCCATATGTCCTTTTCTCTTCTACATTTATTTATGGCTCAACATCCGAGTTTCATATTATTATTATTATTATTATTATTATTATTATTATTATTATTATTATTATTATTGTAACTGATTTGAGGGAAAGAGATATTATTATTATTATTATTATTATTATTATTATTATTATTATTATTATTATTATTATTAACTGGTTTAAATAACCGACGAGGAGACAACAGTCGTAAAATAGCAATGAACAATATCAATTGTGCACTCATAACCATGTATAAACAATTAAAATGAAACAATTCCAGAACGTTTTCGTGTGACCATCATCAGTGGAACATCGTCACATAGTAAGAATCACTAAAACAACCAGTTATATAGCTACAGTAATATGAAAAGAAGCGTGAGAATGCAGCACAGCTAGCGGTTATGCATAACGCGTGTAGTGTGAACCTTTGCAGTGTATCTGAGAATGGTAGCAGTAGATGAATGTGGCAGCTGTGAGTGCGTGTGAACAAAAACTGGTGAGTGCGTATTATCTAAAAAGTGTGAGTGCTACAACATTTTCTTTTTGCTTGCATAGAACAGGGTCACTGTTCTATGCAAGCAAAAAGAAAATGTTGTAGCACTCACACTTTTTAGATAATACGCACTCACCAGTTTTTGTTCACACGCACTCACAGCTGCCACATTCATCTACTGCTACCATTCTCAGATACACTGCAAAGGTTCACACTACACGCGTTATGCATAACCGCTAGCTGTGCTGCATTCTCACGCTTCTTTTCATATTACTGTAGCTATATAACTGGTTGTTTTAGTGATTCTTACTATGTGACGATGTTCCACTGATTATGGTCACACGAAAACGTTCTGGAATTGTTTCATTTTAATTGTCTATACATGGTTATGAATGCACAATTGATATTGTTCATTGCTATATTAACTTCAGAACTAAATATTGCGACAGAGCTTTCGGCCATATTTTCAATTCATTGAATTCCCAACTCATCACAACCACGCGCTCTTCAGCCGAACCATACAGACACCAGCAAGGACACTTCCGTTGAGAGATAATAATTATTATTGCTCCACGCCTCTAGACAGCTGTTTCGCTCCCTGTCGGAGCTCATCAGTAGAGGATGATAATGATGATAATGGAGGAATGATCATTCTTATACACCAGAAATGGCGCAAGTGCGCGCTTTCCACATATATCAATGGCATATGCAAGCTGCTAAAATGGTAAAGTGTGAGAACAGCGATAAATAATCATAGTACGCGCTCATTGGTGGAGAAACACACCACACAGGCGACGAAAATCTTACGCGGAATACTGATGCCAAAGGAAAGTACATGTATGTTGTTTATTATTATGATGTTGCAATGTCCATGTATGCAGGCCAGGCGAGACTCACCGCCGAGATCCCCTAACGCGACAGGCTCGGTTGCCGTTCAGGATTCACACCGACCTGTCCGCCCGTCAACAGGATCGACAGCGGGAGGCCCCACTGATGCCGATGTCGATGCACACCAGGAAACTTGTAGTCGTGAGTGTGATACTAACACGTCCATCGGCAACCACTGACAAACGAGAGGCCAGCTGGGGCATTCACTCCAGTCAGGGATGCCTGGCTGCCTGTAGCTGTCTAGAGGCGTGGAGCAATAATAATTATTATCTCTCAACGGAAGTGTCCTTGCTGGTGTCTGTATGGTTCGGCTGAAGAGCGCGTGGTTGTGATGAGTTGGGAATTCAATGAGCTATATTAACTGGTTATTATTATTATTATTATTATTATTATTAAAGTAGCCAGGGACTGTGATCTTTGGTGCCATTGACATCGCTCGCACTCCTTCCTGTCTTGCATTGCGACCATAGTAAATACATGTAAAGGGCAAACTGCCAGTCTCGATTCGCTATGCAAAAGCCTCTTTCAATATCAAAGAAATCGACCCCAGCGCCCAGGCTGGTAATCATACCCACAATTTCAATAGCAGAACAAACACGAGCACACGTAATCCAATATAGCCGATTATAGGGAAGTGCTGTACCTTAAAAAATTCTGTTCACCTAACCTGGCCTTTTGCCTTTTGCCCTCATTCCTACATGTCCAATGTAGACATCTTCACGTACATGTAGTACATGTAGTACCTAAGCACCTGCATATTTTATTTTTCTGAAACTAGAGTATACATCATGTACATGACGATGTATACAGTCATGTAGATTTACACTATGAAATAATTATTATGTTGAAACCCCGGGGTTGTCGATCAAGAAGTACATGTAGATTTTAAAATACTAACGATCGAGAGTAGACCTGTCTGTACCGGACGTCAATACTGCATTCGACGCAGCCGAGTGGAGAAACGCGCTGCGGCTCGCCTCGGATCGGGAGGCTCGGGTCGGATTGCACTCTGGACCATGGACCATGGATGGTGTTTGGCGGTCCCATTAGTTATGGGATACTAATGAGAGAAAAAATCCAGCAGATATTTTGCGCTAAATATGACAGCTTTTACGTTGTCTCAATTATTTTACTCTGCCATGGCGCATGGCCAGCCTGGGTTATTTGTGCAAGTAGATCTATTGGCATTGCACGAGCCAGAAAAAGGTAAATCTACACTCGGTGAGAAGCACTTCACTAGTTCATTCAAGGTCACCGGTGCGAATGTTCCGCGAATGCAGCCAGACATCGTAGACATCGTAGACATCGTAGACATGGTAGACATGGTAGAGACAAAGAGATGAACGAACGGCGCAAAATGAGTCCTTTGCTCACGCCAATTTTCACATTCCTTGCATTGATTTGCTTGGTTTCTGGGGTATCGTGTGGTCACTCGCAGCCTCCCGTTCTTCAGTACACACTAGCTTATGGGAATGAAGGAAATCCAAGCAACGAACCTGCGCTGAAAGTGGCCGAAAACTATCTGAACGACACGCTCAATTCGCTAAAGTGTGATGACAACGGCCTTTTCGCCAAGGAGCGATGGGAGTTGGTGGTCCGAATCAAGGTTCTGGACAGGCATTCAAAGAATGAGAGTTACCTAGTTCGGAGATTTCTAACTGATGAACGCAGCGCTGATGTGATTAGCGTGGAAGGTGTAGGCGTGCTTGGCACAGTGTTCGGCGTGTTCGCCTTTGCGCAGCAATGCCGCGTCAACCCATGTCAGTGTGGTGGCGTGGAAATCCAGCACACCGAGCCCAGCTTCACACTGCGAACGCTGAGCGAAGAGGGACAGCTTCTAGACCTGCCGGACAGAGGATATCGTCTGGACACGAACCCTTACCTGAACACCAGCAAAATCACGGAGGAGTGTGCTTACATTCAGAGTACGCTTGTCCCTGAGATGCTGAAGCATGGGTTCAACTCCCTGACTATTCTTCATCATGATCTAGAAGAGTATGTGACATACAAGTACCTGAGCGGAGTGAGTGTTTATGCTGCCGACGATCCACACGTCAACAGGTCAGCAGCATTGAGCCTGCTCATCAAAAGCTTTGTGAATACGCTGCACTCGTACCATTTAACCGTGTTCATTCAGCCGTACGAAGTCTCCTGTCCGCCCGTGCTCTGCAAACTCAATCTGTACGCTGGCAGCCCTGATCTGGATCACGTACTGCAGGCAAGGTACAGGGAATTCTTTGAGCTCACTGACGTCGACGGCGTCATCGTGACCGTCTCAGGTGAGCCGCAAAGTCAATACAAACATGTATACATATACGTGCATGTAAAACAGAGACGTTCCAGGCTGTCCAAGAGAGTGCTCAATACCGAGAGGTAGAGCTGGTTGAAACAATATCAGGGTAGGGAAAGTGTTTTTACTCCGAGTCTCGGAGTAAAAACACTTTCTCTGCCCTGATATTGTCTATACAGTCATGTACACACCCAATGCTATCGACAACAAGCTGTTTTGGCCATCCAGGCCTCAGCAGTGCAGCTACGAGCTTTAAATGCAATTAGTTAGCCAAACTACCGGCCATGGCGCAAAGGTGGCAACACCGTCGTTGCGCTCTGTTGCTCATCACATACATCTGCCCACAACAGCAACCAGAGGTTCCTTCCGAGTATTGAATTTTTTTGTATTCCTTCTTACAGCTGTTTCGGTCATTTTAAATGACCCCGCCAGAGACGTTTAGTTGTTGAATGACTGGAAAAGAAATAAGATTAAACTCAGATGGAGAGCCAAGGATAAAAATTAAAAAAAAAGAGGACCATAAGTTTACAAGTTATCCGCTTTGTCCATCGTGATTCAAAATGTGCAACAGGTAGCACAAAACCGACTGATGTGATACTGACATTCAACGACCTGATGCTTAGCTGCATCAGGTCTCTAAGCATCAGGTCGTTGAATTTCATTATCACATCACTCAGTTTTGTGCTTATTGTTACACACTTTGACTCACCATCATCCTGCTTATAATTGTTAGTGTTAGACAAAATGGATAACTTGTAAACTTATGGTCCTCTCTTTTTTAAAAGAAATAAGAACATATTTTATACTGACTCTTGCTGAATGCTGCTGCCTACCTTCTTCGTATGGTGTTCAATGATAGTGTCCGATTTAAAGGATCAGGTTGCGGTTTTAAGTCGGAGCCTCTGTATTTACCATGTCTGTTACCTGTTTAAAAGATTCCTGGTCACCTCGTGCTGGTTATCAGTTTCACAAAGCGTGGACTAATGCTAAGGAGCTGGCGCAGGTGGCGACATCATTCCACGACGCCATCGTGAACAAGTGCAACAAGACATTCATCTGTCGACTGTGGCAGTGGAATGGCGGACAGTGAGTCTGCATGAAATGGTTATCATACATGCACCTATAGACCATTAGTAATTATTTTAGTATACCGGTACTAGTATAGAATTGTACACGTGCAAAATCACCAGACAGGTTAGCCATGCTGATTCTAACAGCAGTCATTCGCTGGATCAATGAATTGGAATATGCCGGTCATACTGTCCACATGCCATGTACATTTCGTATATGAACATTGTTACATGATATCGGCCATGTTCGTTCCACTGTCCACATCCTATGTACCCTCTCTGCATTGATTTGGTGATAATGACAAAGATGCAAACCCATCTTATGCACATAGGTTGACTCCACACCTCCTACACTTGCAGACTACCCATTATCTGAAATAGAGCACCCGTCTTGTGCGGAAGGAAGATCAGTATTCTGTTTTCTTCAGTTCTGCTTTCTCAGTAGATTAATGGTATAAGGAGAATAGCTGTACATACATACATGCAGCACCTGGAGCAGGAGGGCATTCAGAACCAACTGTCTTTGCTAGGCCAGCATGGTACAGAATGTAAGCAACTTTGCTAGTCTTGCTATCTTTGCTAGGCGAGCAGTCTGAAGGGCGCCATCGTCACATTGAGCGTATTCCGGTGCCTCATTTGAGCACTTCCCAAACTACAGGAGCAACCCACTGTCCAATTCTAAGAGCTCCTCATCAGCCTCCTGTAATGTGATAGGCATCTTCTCCTGAGTTGTTGGCTGGTGGCACACTGTAGGGTAAATACACATGATTTAACTTATTGACTGATCCTCAGATTTCATTCTATAATAATTATGTACATGTATGTGTTGTGATTCAGGGATTGGGAAGCACTACTTCAAGGAACTCCTAGCGATCTCATTTTCTCCGTTAAAGTTACTGCAGGTGACTATCTCCTTGATCAACCTATCCACCCGTTGCTTGCAGCCAACTCCACTGCACCGCAGCAGCGCCCTATCATGGTCTTAGTGGATGTGTTCAGAGAGTACAATGGCTGGGCGAAGACGGTCTGCTACGTTCAGCAGTGGGACGCTCGGTTGAAGCAGGTCCACAAGCTGGGTGTGCGCATGCTTAATGTCTGGGGAGCGTGGTCTCCAGTAAGTTTTCTAAGTCATTACAGGGGAAACTTGGGCAATGCAGGGCGGAAATGGCTCCTTCTGGGCTTCCCTTGTGTTCATACTTTGAAGTTGATTGGCACATTGCGACACTGGGTTGAGTTACGCGATGTGTTTAGTACAATGTGGGGGGAACAAAGCTATGAGGAATCTGCCTGCTAGACTGAATTCAATGACACAAATAAACTCTGAATTTGAGCCTTGTGACCAATACCTGCTATGTTTTCATTATCGTGATCGTTGCAGGGTTGTACATGGCCAGATTCCGGCAGTCAGCTCATCAATGGCACAGCGGGCCAGTACAAATCCTGGCAGGGTCTGTACAACAACTACCGCGTCTATACCGCATCGCCGGATATGATATTTTCCGGTGCTCGTCCCAGTGCTTATCTGCTATATCGCCTAGCCATGAACATTGGCGATGACATGGGCCAGATCACAGCTGACTTTGGCTCTCTGTACTTTGGCAAGGCCAATTCCGAACACATAGCCAATGCTTTGTTCGTAACACAGGATGCTTATCTGAATGCGCTCAGCTATCCAAGATCAGTTGCCGACTTTGTTGTCCAGTGGGCTGTGGTCTTCAATCCAGTTGATTCCAAGCTGGAGGTGTTCCCAAAAATTACCAATTATAGTGAACTGCTGGAGGTCAATGGCAATGTGCGGAGGGCAATTCTCTACTTTAATGGCAACCTGAGCAATGTGGCTGCCCCACCATCACAGGACATATGGCAGAGCTTCAACAAATCGGCAGCCATCACTGTTCTGTACTGGTCGTCGCTGATTACCTGGAGACAAATCTATCACCTGAACCACAGCCTGGCCCTGGGTCATCGTACGACATGCGCACTGCTTAGCTCAAGTCTTTCCGAATGGCATACTCTGATGGCCAACTGGGACACAGTAGCGCCAGAGCAAGGTGAGGATTGGGAAATCACACGCGTTTCTCGTAAGCTGGAAAGCCGGCCAGACTTCTTCCACGCCTACGTTTCGTTCAATGACTATGTCAGAAAGATCGAGTCCAACTTCAATACCCACTGTACGAGGTGAGAGTCAGAGATACACACTAACTCTCTACTCTTTAGCAACGATCCGAACTAGCGCACACACTGCACTGCATTGTTTTGTACTGCATTCAACACTGACGTCATGCGCTTTGTTTTGCTGCGTAATCACAAATGGCACCCAGCCCGTCTTGCTGAAAAGAAAACAAATCTTGCTTGCCCTGTTGTGCTCTACCAGACAACGGATCGTGCTTCAGCAGTGTTTCTTTTCCCCCCATCCCCCCCCCCCCCCCATCCAACTTATTCACAACTGGTGTTATTTAGCTATTTGCTGCGGCTCTGCCTTGCGCTATAATACATCCATTTAGCATTGCTGCTCTACTTTGATCTAACCGCAGCTCTACTTGGAGCTAACAGCAGCTCTGCTCTAAGCTAACAGCAGCTCTACGTTGAGCTTCGAACCAGTTGTTTCAAAACCAGCACTCAATCCAAAGATGCCTCTTTGTTGACTTTTTTGTGTGAGGGATGGGGCTAACCACCTACTACATAGAGCAGGAAGAGGAGAATGCCTTCACTCTGGAAAGCACGCACACTGTAGATCGCCTATAGCGTTGGTGCATGTACTCGGTTTTGAGCATTTTACTACTAGAAGCAACACATTGCAAGTATTATGGAGCCTCCGTGTTCTAAAAAAAACACATTGCAAGGATTGATATTGCATGTACATGTACTGTGTTGCGCACCGGTTATGTCATAATGTTCTCGCTCCACATATACTGGCACACAGACATAGACAGCAACAGCGACAACACACAAAGTGAAGGGTAGTTGGCTGCCGCCAGATCGGTGAACCGGATAACGAGTAGTAGTAGTAGTAGTAGAATTTATTATTTTACTAGGGAACTCCCAACAGGCGTTGCCTTTTTACTGGGAACCCTAGGAATGACTTGGTGCTTGTGACAAATGCAGAAAGGGGCTTAGCTTGACGACATCCAGGTGGAAGCATGTTCCATCTGTCTGCCGCCAAAAATGAAATAGCATTCAGGCCGTAACGAGACGTAGCTCTGGGTAGGTTCAGAGCGGCTGAAGCTTAACCGCGGGTAGAAGCATTTGTGCGGCATGATGCAGAGCGGGGGGGGGTAAATATCGTGCTTAAAAGAGGACTGGTGCAACGAGATAGACACCTAAAAACAAACACAAACAGCTTCAAGTTTACACGGCGAGAGAAAGTATACAGGTTATATTTGGTAAGAATGAAATCGATAGAAGTATACTGATCATGGCCAAACACTCGCCTTAGGCACCTATTGCTGGTTGACTCAAGTTTGTCTCGGAGCTTAGCAGACAAGCAGCGAACATCAGATGTGCTGGCATAGTCCAAGGTACTCGGATAATTGTCAGGCAAAACATGCGGCGGCCGGTCATGGAGACATCGCGGCGCCGCGAGTGAGGTATGGAAGCAAGGACTGAGAACAGAGTGTCTCAGAAAGAATAGGTGTGCCAGCGGGATAGCAGAAATAGGCCATGATGCAGAATCACTTGGGACAGTCAGATAATTTTCCTGGACCGAGCCAGCCGGGAAAAACCCTCGCGCCGACGGACGCAGTTGTGAGGGAAAAAACCGGGTGTATGTCCCCAATGACGATTAGGCATCATGTAGGCATGGCAAGCACATCACGGCAACAAGTGATAAAGATGCACAGAAATGAAGGGTGGGAGGGCAGGGACACTGGTGAGACTCAAAACTGACTGAAGAAGTCAGGAAAAGAAACGACAATAAAGAACACACCAGATGCCATATTTGCAACTGAAAATGTTTCGCGAGAAATCATTTCTCGCCTATCTCGCTGCGCTGCGTTATTGCTTGGTTTTGTTGTTTAGTGAACGACATTTCGAATTCATGGCCTCTTGATTTTGTGTCACATATATTTTGCATTTCCCGGACTACATTGTTGTATTGTTCTTTATTCTACAATGTATGTATGAAGTAAAGTGAAGCCTCTCTTATGGGCAAAAATTAACACAACGGATTAAAATGCAATACAACACACACTGGAGAAGAAATCAGAAAAATACATGTGTAAAATAAAGATATTGACTACACCATAGCTCAGTGGTTAGAGCATCGCTAGCTACAAGCGAGGGTCCCTGGTTCGAGTCCTGGTGGTGACAGTCAATTTTTTCTTCAGACTTTTCCCGTTTGTGTCTTTCCCTCAAACTAGTCAAACCCAAACCAAATTATTATCAACTAACTCAATCAATAAACTCAATTCAAAAGGAGAAAACAATAACAAACAAAAAAACTAGCAATAAAGAGAACAAAACAATAATTCTGCTGTCATCGCCACACTACAACGGAGTTAGTTATGAAAGTTTTCCAAAATCGATGTTCCTGTCACATTCATCAGTTGAATGTTGGACTGAAAAGAACGAGCACCACGGATACAAAAAATGCGGGTTCTCAGGAAAGAGAAAGAGAGACGGGCACGCAGCAGACTCATGACAATTGAGTATTCGCAACTGGAAGACTTACATTGTAAGCGACAAAGACGTTAAAAAAAACGGAAAACGGACTACAACCACCATGAGTGCCAAACACTAGAGGGGTGAAGGAACCACGCTCTACATTGACAACTTTCTCCTCATACAGTCAGTATCGCCTATTGCGTTGGTCTTGAATTTCCAAGAATATGGCCCAGTGCAAAAAGGAGAGTACTCGAGTGCGCAATATACTCAGCTACGCGTTTACAACGATTTGCCAAGATTAAATAAAGGCTTCAGATGGAGCCACTATTCAGCATAAGTATATCCACCAACCAAATAAAGTAGCAGATGCTTTGATCCAACCGACAACAAGCTCACACAACTCAGTTTGGGATATTTACAGGATACAGGAACAATATGATACAGGTGAAACAAGAGGAAAAGAAAGCTATCCGTCCATCACGGAAGGAACAACAACTAACTAGAAAAGGAAAATATCGAAGAAACAAGCAGCGCAAGCGAAAGCCAAAACGCTCTCCTCAGCAGATCGTGCACATACACGTGCGCCTACAAAGCACCCACAGCAGCGCAAACGACGCCAACGTACTACACTGACATGATCTACACTATTATTTACATGCATCAAATAAGGATTCGAAAAGCAACCGAAAAAGTAGCCAGCTCTGCAGAAGGATCCGCGACTGAGTACAGTCCGCGTAGCCATGGGACCTCATAACGTCAACCAAACAAAAGACACAGAAAAGACGTGTCAAATAAACAATAAATAAACCGAACGCAGATTCAAACAGCAAACTAGTAAGCTAACAATAAACTAGTAACACTGAGACAATTCGACTGTCACAATGTATGACAAAATCACATGCAAGAAGTCCTTTCACTTTGTCCACCGCTCGTTGCGTGACATCACTCCCCACCAAAGGACTTCCTGGGGATCAGAATCCTAAACAAACGACTGCACGAACACCACAATCGATTCTGGTATTCCGGACGGCACGATCAATACAACTGCGTGAAAGACACCGTTGATCATCGTCGCTGTACTCTTCCATGAGCACGTTACCCAGGCGCTGCATCCTGCGACTGACATTCCATCTTTTCATCAACTTGTTGGCTTCCAGCACATCACTTTCTGGCGGTCGTTGGTTAGACTTCCTCAGTGAAACAACTAGGCACTGCGTTTCAACCCGCTTCGCTGGGTTCTCACGCGTATTGTTCGCTACACGTGGTGGCTCCTCCATCTGCCACCGCCGTTCCATTTTCACCTCGATACAGGCCACCGACACAGTGCATCCGGCTTCTGTGCCCAATGCGCTGTTGCCATTGACGACCTTCATTTCCGTCTCCACCTAAGCCGTATCCATGGCTGACACTCCAACGCACTGTCCACTGTGCTGGGTTGTTGGAGCGACGGACCGATTCTCCACTGACGCTCGTCGTCCACGCGCCTCTTGGTCAAACACAACCGTTGTTTCCTTGTACCTTGGAAACGTAATCCTGGTACTTGTACTTGGGACTGTCATTACCCCCACAGCACTGCTGTCCACTAGTCCACAAGTAGACGCAGCCTCCGCCGCAGAGCGCTCCCCTCGCAACTCCGCTTCGGCCGCTCGGAACGCATGCCCCCGTTGAGTACGCGCCTCCTCCCTTCGAGCGTTGACCTCCTTCACCTTTCTTTCCACGTACTGCGCGAGTCGGCTCCCCTGGAAACCCAGGGCCTTACCAACTCGCAGCAACCGCTCCTCCAACAGCAGTCCCCCCGCGGACTCTGCTGAGTATCCTACGCCCTCACTGGTTCTCTCCTCGAGCATCGTGGCCATTTCCTGTCAGCGCCACTGGACCAAACAGCGTATCTATCCTGGCGTGATCGCCATAATTTGATCCAACCGACAACAAGCTCACACAACTCAGTTTGGGATATTTACAGGATACAGGAACAATATGATACAGGTGAAACAAGAGGGAAAGAAAGCTATCCGTCCATCACGGAAGGAACAACAACTAACTAGAAAAGGAAAATATCGAAGAAACAAGCAGCGCAAGCGAAAGCCAAAACGCTCTCCTCAGCAGAACGTGCACATACACGTGCGCATACAAAGCACCCACAGGCCACAGCAGCGCAAACGACGCCAACGACGTACTACACTGACAATGACATGATCTACACTATTATTTACATGCATCAAATAAGGATTCGAAAAGCAACCGAAAATGTAGCCAGCTCTGCAGAAGGATCCGCGACTGAGTACAGTCCGCGTATACATGGTATCAAGAGTAGATAAACTGTTTATCTACTCTTGATGGTATACACGCGTAGCGCTATAGCCATGGGACCTCATGACGTCAACCAAACAAAAGACACAGAAAAGACGTGTCAAATAAACAATAAATAAACCAAACGCAGATTCAAACAGCAAACTAGTATTTTAATTATAGTACTAGTAATGGGCCATTCACACTACGCCCAAAACGTGGCGTAAGTGACGTTTTCGTCCGGATAGCCATGACAACATGGAACGTGGCGGGAAAATCGTACTCCTGATACGAAAACGTAGACGACGTATCCAGACCCCTGTACCGAGTTTCGTTCTGTCGTTCCCAGCAGTTTGTGTCCAAACGAAGCTCGTACACACAGCTGTACGAGTAGCGTGTGCGTGCCTGTGTGAATGCACCTGCATGAAAACGACGTCTGCCAGTACGTCGTATTCCAAAACGTGACGCGTATTGTAACGTAGTATGAATAGCCTATAAGCTAACGATAAACTAGTAACACTGAGACAATTCGACTGTCACAAAGTACGACAAAATCACATGCAAGAAGTCCTTTCACTTTGTCCACCGCTCGTTGCGTGACAGATGCACATGCCCGCATTTACAATCACAAACACTCAGAAGCAAACACACAATAGCAAGAGCTCGAAGATTGCTGACAGTGCTCAACACCACAAGGATGGAGCAATACCATAAAGGCAGAAGAGAACAGAGACAACCTCAGTAGCCTGAGGAT